ATCTCTACCAGTTCTGAGCATATGTAAAACATATCCAGTAAACTATGGTTATAACGAACTCAAAAGGACCACTAAATGTAGATCGTAATAACCGTAGTTTGTTATAAGCATATATACAGCATAAATACAACAAATGGCCGGGACTAAAAATAAGTCAGTTATATCAGTCAGTTTCTTATAAGCGTGATTTCGTTATAAACATAGCTTACTGTATATGCACCAAGGGAAACTGTACCTATGATATTATATTTTATCTTTAAATGTTCACTATCAAACAGTTTCATAAATGGCATCATGTTCAATATCAGCTGCTGAATCTAAAGAGGAAGATCCCAGAACATGACCGGCATAGTCCTAGATTATTATCTGTATACAATGTAATAGCCTACTGCTGCCATTGCTCCACAGTGATAGCTATAAAATACACAGATCTTGTAGACAAGCCAAGGATGGTCCAATGTCATCGTATAATGCCGCCATGATATAACAGGGTCAGTTTTAATAATGCCAGATATCACCATAAAGCATTCTCTCATTACATGGAAGCATGTATAGAATACTGAATCGTTGGCTAAATACCAAACACAGTGCCAGGCTATTTCTAGCTTGTACTGTTACCTCTCCAAATCGGGTATTGATTTTTCGGCCCCGGCGCCAGACAGATGTATGAGTGAGCAATACAGGGAGAATGATGGCAGATGATCCAGCATGGCCGCCGCCGATGTATAACTTGGCCTCGGAGTTCACCGCCCAGGACGAGCCGAGATTTCTAAAAGCTCATTTTGTCACTGCACCTAATAACGGAGACATCATTAAGAATTTATACTGATTGTGGAAGGGGACAATTATCAATGATTAAGCCATTGAGGCACTAGGATCAGAGGAAAGGACACTGATTGGCGGAGTTTTGTGTTTTGTTTGGTTGTAAAAATTCACAGAAATATCGGGTTTACGATTTAGAACAAATAATTGTAATGAGCTTTTTGACATGCGTTTTTGGGTTAATATTTGTTTCATCATCATGATGTATCATCTGTATTTATTCAGCTTAACAAGATTGTGACTGTACTGTAATAAAACGCCATACCTCTTGAACATGTTGAATCACTGTTTGTATCTAATATATTATAAAATATGAAAATTATATATAAGAATGAACATTATCTACTTAAACTCAATAGAGTGGAATCTGTCCCATTTGGACTCGGTTGGGTACCAAGTACAAAAATGTCGGACTTAACACAAAATGATAAGCAACGATCATTCATCTTTATTCGTGTACATGGGGTCACATTAAATACACATAAAAACATTCTTTACTTAAAAGGTCATTGAGAACAGACTGCTTATGTTTCTAAAGATTATATTTCAAAATCGTGTCCTCCGTCATAATTTTCGAGGTGAAGTAAGTAGTTCACCATAGCAGGATCATTCATTTTTCAAAGTGGGAAGTACTGCAGATAGTCTTCGCTACATTAAAGAATATGCTAGACAGCCTGCTTACTGATGCTAACACTTATTGGATAAATCTTTATGCTTTGGTTTTTGCTCTGACTTAAATTCCTCAATGAAAGCAACTTTCTTACCAAGATTAAGTTTGATACATTGTTTCTTTGCCGCTCCCTCAGCGTTTGTGATTGATAAGGACAAGCTATGTTTACCGTTATTTATTTATTTATTGACACGCTCATGGAGTTAATCTAATTAAGCTGAGTTTCTCATTAACAGTTAATTAAGAAAACAAAGTGTTAAGATCGATAGGATTACATGCAGGATTAGCATCATTGTTTTAGCTGACAATGACTGAGCTTACTTGAAAGTGAGAGAACTTTCCGTCCGGTCCAGTCTGGTCTGGTCAAGTCCGATTTAGACAGCTTCTTTTCAATAGTAAATTGATTGTTAGGACCGTAATTTTAGTCCGAAGTCCCAAGTGTAAAAAGTCTGATTTAGAGAGTTATAGGTCAGTTTGAGTAATGATAATTTATTGAGGAATTGAAAAAAAATGGTTTTCACCAAAATCCAAATTTGACAAGAATTCAGTTTCGACAGACTGTATGTGTTCCAATAACCAGGTAACATGTGGCACTTATTGCTTGACCTTCACCTTGGTTGTAAACTGAATCTGCATTGTGCTAAAGAAACAGCGATTCAGCTGCTTATCTCTCTGTAACTAGCAGTGATTTTGCCAGAGACAAGGGGAATGAGGATATTTTCATAAATTTAGAAATTTTGATTGCACAATTACCAGTTTGGATCCTTACCAATCATGGATCATTACCAACTTTGAAAGAATCTATAGAACATTATGGATGACAAGAGTCAGTGTCATAATGAACCAATCAAACAAGTTGTTTTCATAATGAACCAATCTGACGAGTCATTGTCAACATGTACTGTCTGAAACCCTGAATATGCTTCAATATTTCATGTCCACAGATGGGCAGAAGTCATCTTGTTTTGTTCCTGTAACAGGATCATGTTGATGAAAAAATAAAGTTGACAAAATAAAAATGTAAAATATATCATGGCTATGTCAACCAGATACATGTAATTTGTTTTTGAGTCTGTTTTTCGATAAGATAAACACATTTCAAGGTGAAGGCTGGCAAGCTGAGAAAATATGGATGGAAAAAATAACTTTGAGAATAGTCAAGCTCCCCTTGAAACTGAAATGGTTTGTCCCTTTGGCTTAAATACAACGCCCCACACTCCATGCCCCATGCTCAATGCCCCATCCCCCACGTTCCACGCCCCGCCCCCCACACCCTACACTCTACGCTCTACGCCCCACCCTCCACACTGCAAACTCCTCACCACGCTCCACAACCCACCCCATCACAATATGTTCAGTCAAACATTTGTGAAAGTTTCAAACGTTTAATAATTCACTAAGGATTTATAACTTTATGATCACAATAAAATCTCTATCAACACTATGATTGAATAAAGGCTCCCCGCTAGTCTTGCAGTACTTACGATTTGACGTATATTTGATTATACTTAATATCTCACTGTGCAAGTCATTATGGCAGCAGAAGTTATTCATTGTTCGTTATCCAGCCTTGGCATTGCCGTAAGATTGATAAAAGGGTGAAAAGGGTAAACACAACTCATTTTATCAATAATAGGAATGTTTTGAGAATGTTTTAGGCTCAGTCTTCAAAGATTACTGAGGTTTAACGTCGCGTCCAAGATTATTGCACTTATATAGCGACGTGCATGTACGTGTGTGTGTTTGTGTGGCTGCTTGTACTAGTCCGGACTGATGCCGATTTATAGTGCTAGTTCACTGAGATACCATGCCGCAGTTTAGCATGAATACCCCACTCAGACACAGTATACTGACTCCGAGCCGACCAGTCCTTGTTTTAGCCCCTTAATGCCGAGCGCCAGACAGGGTAACAACAAGTACCATCTTTTAACGTCTTTGGTATGACGCGGCTGGGGATCGAACCCTGGACCTTCCGCTCTCCGGGCGAACGCTCTACCACTAGACCACGGAGGCGGTCGATTACTGATGATGTGAATCTTTGTCTGGACCCAATGTAACGACAGTGTCAGTTGGATATGACAGGCCAGCACCCACTTAGTTGAGACTTGATGATTTCACTCTATGTGGAAATTATTCTAACTAGGGCTGCCTAAAAAAATTGAAAATCAGAATTATAGTTGTTCTGAAGAAATATTAACAATTATCGATATGAAAATTGTGTCATTGATAATATCTTTCATAAACTGTTGTGATGAAATGAAGTTTATTTACCCAAGCTGACTTGTTATGTCCATTGAAGATGGAAAGTGACTGATTTTGTTATATCTTAAATATCAACAAAGTAATCCATGCATTAATGTGTCACCACTCAATAGTGACGTGAAATATGTTGTTTTGTCTCTGAGCTTTTAGTATTTTTGCTTAAAGTTACTTCTCCGATATTAGGATTATGGGTTGCCATTGGTTCATTGGACAATTATGGATCTGGTGTTATATTAATGTATCAGTCTTTGACGTCCGTGATGTACCTAAAGCTGTCACTGACGTCATCCTTATTGAAATGTCAATGTCTTCTTGATCTTCTCGTATGAAATAAGTAATTTTTTACAATGACGGTAATTCTTTTATGAATGATTAAAAGTTTTGCTTGTGAATACATGATGTGTACTATGCAAAAGAATTGAAGATCACCGATTCTTTCATATGGATGTAGTTAAACTGCCATGACAAAGCAAAATGAAAGAATCAGATGACATCATGTTCTAACTTCTTTTGAGTGCTACCATGTTCTTTCAGTTTGGACAACAGGGCTGAAATATTCAGTGTGTCTTGGTGTTGTACCAAGTACCGCATTAGAAATTGGCACTTGTCCTGTTATCCTCGCCAAACCACCCAATAGTTAGGGTATCATAAGGACGAGTAGCAATTTGCCATTTTTGAGCGTTTTGCTATTTGTTTTCAATATACGGACTAACAGACTGAAAGTTCGGGGTTTGATCCCCGGTTGTGTCATACCAAAAGACATTAAAAGATGGTACTTGTTGTTACCCTGTCTGGCGCTCGGCATTAAGGGGTTAAAGCAAGGACTGGTCGGCTCGGAGTCAGTATACTGTGTCTGAGTGGGGTATTCATCTTAAACTGCAGCATGGTATCTCAGTGAGCTAGCAGAGTAAATCAGCATCAGTCCGGACTAGTACAAGCATGTACGTCGCTGTATATGTGCAATAATCTTGAACACGACGTTAAACCCATTTTTACCTCACCCCACCTCACCTCACCTCACCTCACCTCACCTCACCTCACCTCACCTCACCTCACTCTGGTCAAGTGAAGGAACTTTTTGCATCATAAGATATCAAGAGACCATTCAGGGCCTCGTGGCACAATCATTATTCTCGGGTACTTAGATGTGTCACTAACCCATGTGGATATTGTAGTTAATCCATTGCATTATATAATACTGATATCATCCAGAGTTTATTTACATATTTATTTTCTCTTCTTTCAGATATTTGAATGGTGGTACTTCAAGAAATATGGAACTTCCTTCATAGAGCAGGTGTCCCTCAACCACATATCCCCCCTCCTGGGCGGCGGGGAGGGGACGACTGAGACCCCTAGCAGCAGCAGCGGCAACACTTCCACAACACAACAACAGACTCTGCCAGGTAAGTTCCACACCACTCTGGACCCCGTGAAGGTCCGGGTTAGAACTGATCTTCAGCAACCCATGCTTGTCGTAGGAGGCAACTGACGGGATCGGGTGGTCAGGCTCACTGACTTGGTTGATGCATGTCATTGTATCCCAGTTGTGTAGATTGATGCTCATGATGTCAATCATTAGATTGTCTTGTTCAAACTTGACTTTTTAGACTGCGGTCATATAGCTGGAATATTGCTGAGTGCGGTGTTATTATAAACAACAAACAAATAAATCACATCACTTTGAACAGTATTTCAGTTGTATCACAGTGTGTCAGCTCAGAAAGTCCGAAGTGAATCCCACAAGGACAGGTATGGTGCTGACACACCTAGGAATGTTTTGAGGGAGGATCTGGGATTCAAACACATATTCACTGGTTTCTTGCACATCTAAGGGACGCAACTCTGCACTGTGAATTGTGCTGCCTTAGAAGAAAGAGCCGTCTGTGCCACCATCACATGCTAAGGGAGCACACCTCACCAATCCCAATAGTGCCAATACCGCCTCTTAACTTGGAACAATATAGGGACCCTGCCTGGAAATGGGATTAAAAATAAGGGTTGAGTGGGTTAAAACATAGAATGGTGGGATTTGGGGGTTGTTGTTTTTTCTGTTGTCAACATGCTCCATGACCTTAAATATACTGCTAAATGAATTTGAGAGAGTCCCTGTTCTTATTTTGGCTGATTTTGCATGGGGGCAATGGTAACAACTTCGGAGGAGGCGGCGGCGGAGGTGGTTATCAAGGGCCAGTCCTCTGAGGCGCCACTATTAACTGTGCAGAGTTGCGTCCCTTGGGCACACCAGAAACCTATGGTTTGGGGTTTGAATCCCAGTTTGTCAGCACCATACTTGTGCTCATGGGTTTCACCAAATGTCTGAGACTTGCTCACCTCCCACATCAATCTGACACACCGTGATATACACCCCAACACTAAACCCAACGAACTCACTCAAATTGCATGCATATATGACATGTGGAAATATAAATAATTATTTCTGTTAGGGAGAAGGTGGCGAGATACAATGAGTTCTGGGAATTGTATTGATTAACTCAATTGACATGAATGTGATGCCATTCTTAATGGTTTATTCATTTATTCAGATGTAGATATATGATTGACAAATACAGAATATTTACTTACACACAACCCTCGTATGTCTGTTTGACTGCCATTTACTTGAGTTGTTGATTATATTGCCGTATCCTTGACATTCTAGTGTAAAGACAACAAACTGTCATTTCTCATCTACTGATGCCACCATAATTCAATAGAAATATTTGATGCTTTCAATGAATGTTTGGCCAAGCCCATTGCATATTTGTAGCAAGGGTTGCCACTTTATCATAATTGATATTTGGCAGTTTGAGAAATATTCAAGGGTTGATTTAACTGCTGGCCTGCTGGCCCAAGGCCAGTTAAGATTACAAAGGGCGAGCTGAAACATAACGTAGATGGCCCGTCTGGCTATCCTAAATTTCACCCCTTCTCATGTATGTTTAATTTTTTTTATTTGACACTGCTCAATAATCATGTAATGTTGGTGACAAAGAAAATATTTAGGGGGGATGAGATCGTATGAATGGTAAACTTTTGGAAAGATGTATCAAGATCATCTCGGTAGAATGACACAACCAGGCGGCCATTTGGTAATGTTGTGTACAACATCTTTATTTGCTCATAAATCACCTCGGATTGAGCAAAACGGAAGCCATGATTTAATCTCAAGAGTGCAGGAAAAGGCGTTTCAGGGGTGAACAGTTTTCTGAGCCCTGCAAGGTGGCTACGTGACCCCAGGTTTCGGCCACTTCGTGGCCTTCACCATTTAGTTGTAGGCCTCTTAGTTTGGAGAAGAGCCAGTAACTTTTAGAAGGAGCAAGCTCTGCTGACTACATACAAATTTGGTGTTAAATCTACCCGTGACATTGTTTGTGAGACACTATGTATACCGGTACTGCTCCACATTTGCTAAAATCGTCTTCTTCAGTCAAAGGTGTGGTCTTTGCAAATGTTGAGTAGTATATGTTCCCTGTTCTCTCCCCTCCCCCCCCCCCCCCCCTGTCATGGAGTTCCTGAGGCCTAGATTTTTAAGGCTTCATCAGGGAAGTAAGAAATGTGGACTGTCATGTAATAAGCGGAGACCATGTTATCACTGGCTATCAGATTTGTAATTTTTCGCATTTAATTGTTTCAAGTGTCATATTGTCAAAGCTACTCAGAGAATTTGTGTTTGTGAGTGTCATGGTAAAATACAGTTGCCTGGAATCTAGCATCAAAGCTGATAATGAAGCAAGAGTAGTTTTCAGGAAATCAATATTTGGTGATGTATCTTGTAACATATGGTTTTACACATCAAGTGATATGCCATTTTGGTTCATCACAACTTCCAGTTTAGATACTGTAGCCAAGACATAAAATGTGGTTTCAAGGGATGTTAGTTGTCTTCATTTGTGATCCTCATCTTTCATTTCCAATATGATTTTGTTTGAAGACTTCAGAAAAACATGTTAGTTTACGTTTCTTTTGCGATTTACTTTTTTTCATAAATAATTCAAAGAATTACACAACCATGCAGTGCCTTTATTTGTGATTTGATTGCATAATTTAAGAATGATGGTGTGCAATGAAGTATTCTATGTCTATTGGAAAAGTTTAATGTTTAAAATCCATATTTAGCTGATATTTGAATTTTTGAAATTTAAATTAAAAAAGTAGATAAAAAAAAATGCCTTTTAAATCTTCCTGTTAACTAACAAAAATCAATCGCCTGGTAAATAAGAATTTACAGTATGGCTTGTCTCTGGCGTGGATATTTTTCTTCTCATCAAACAAACATTGTTATTCTTGAACTTCAGTGTGTGCCTGAATGAAATACATGAATATCTGTTTTATTGATAACAGCAGATTCCTTTGAAATGTTCCAATATCATCATGAGATGCTTTGATCAACTCTTGAATAATCATTTCGTTCATTCCCTGTCTTTTGTATTCTGGATCGTTATGTTTTGATTTTCCAGACCCTTCCTTGCTCAGTGCTAGATGTAGCTTTCAACATTTTAGCCATGTTTATGAGATTTTTGGCGGCATGTTTCGATAGGGGATGTTAAGTGCCAGGTCACGTAGGTTGATATCAGCCAATATTTACATCAGAATGGCGTAATCAATATTCTGCATGCGATGGCTAACCTTGCCTCTTATTTCCAGAATGCAAAGTTTGGCGGAATCCCCTCAACCTATTCCGTGGATCGGAGTACCAGCGTTTTATTTGGGCAACAAATAAAGATCCGTTGACATATTATGACATGAATCTCTCTGCACAAGATCATCAGACTTTTTTCACGTGTGAATATGATGCTGGAAAACCAGAATATGAAAGTAAGTAAAGTTGAGAAGGATCAGTGGCTGCTTGTTTGTGTTAAAATATTAGTATTGAGAAATATGCAAAAGTAACAGTTCATATTGCTTTTTCTCTTACCGTATTCGACGTAATAAGCGCCCAGGGCGCTCCCAAAATTAGAAATAGGGGGCTCTTAAAAAAATATTATTTTGGTGGAAAAAAACAGAGTTGAAAGATAAATTTCGTGGTTTATGCTGACAGCCTGAAATGTTAATATACGACATATATATTTTTCCAGAATTTAATTCCCCATATTTGAGGGTGCATATTACACACGAGTGCGTATTATACACGAATAAATAGGTCTTGTGTACATTGATCAATCGGAAGGGGTGCTAATTGGGATTGTTCATTAGCCAATATATTAGCAAATATCGCCGTGGGTGCTTATTAGAGCGGGGCGCTTATTACGTCGAATACGGTACTTGTTTTGGCATGTCTTTCATATACTGATGAAGGAAAAAAAGGAACAGCTGTAAAAGATATATGCTGGTCTTAAGAGGCGACGTAATGGGTTATACTTGGGGCGTTGATGGCATGTCATTGTATGCAACATGGATGGTTGCTCACAATATCGATCAGGGGCACGGGTGGCCCAGTCGTCTAAGGCGCCGCGATTCTCTGTGCAGAGTTGCATCCCTTTGGCACTCCAGAAACCTATGATTGTGGATTCGAATCCCGGTTCGCCCCGATTATGTTTCTAGATTTGTCAGCACCATACCCGTGCTCGTGGGTTTCACCAAAGTGTTAAACGTCTGAGACCTGCATCACTTTGGGCTTTCCTCCCACATTAAGCTGACACGCTGCGATATAACTGGAATAATGTTAAAAGCGGCATTAAACCTAACTCACTCACTCACTCACTCACTCACAATATCGATCAATGGATTGTTTGGTCAGTGGGTTAGCTAGAATATTGCTGATATTATACAACAAACACATTATGCACATGCACACGCACACGCATATCGCTATATAAATGAAATAATCTTGAATGCAATGTTAGACCCCATTTCACCTCCCCTCAAGGAAAAATAGAGATTTTTGAATATCATTTCACTATAGAGGAGCAACAATCTTGAATGCAGTTTTATACCCGTTTTACCTCACCAGCTCCCCTTGTTTTGAACACTGGTGACTATCAGCCAACTTGTTTATGTTTGTGTGTTTAGTCATGCAGATGGCATGGAGGGAGCGGAATCCACAGTCGAGGATAAAAGCTGCGCACGAATCTCTGGAGAAAAACTCTGAGTAAGTACATCTACTGGTTGCCGTCTCTGATATCTGTTTCGGATTCTGCTCCGTGAAGATGCGGGTTAGAATTGGTCTTCCACTTGCGTAACAGGCGACCAACAGGATCGGGTGGTCAGGCTCACTGACGTGGTTGATGCATGTCATTGTTTCCCAATAGCATCGATTGATGCTCATGATGGCGATCATTGGATTGTCTGGTCCAGACTTGATTATTTATAGACCATCATTATGAAACTGGAATTTTTCTGAGTGCAGCTTTAAACACCAAACAATTAAAGAAACAAACTAACTTTGGCATTACAATTTTTTTTATACTATTGGGCAAGTGTTTGGAGAGACAATGAACGAAAACATATACTGGCTTCCATGACAGACTATGTCCCTACTATACCATGTATGTTGTAGCAGTTCATGGAAATCAAGATTTGGCCGTTTACAGTGTATGACCTGGCTGATATTGTGTCATTATTTATGTTGGCAAGAATTGTTGCTCATGCTATCAATCACTGGTTTGTCTGGTCCAAGTCCTATTTTTATCATTAGAATTTTCATATTGCCGACTGATGCGTAAAACAACATTCAATTGCTTTTTCAGACAATGTGTGTGGTTGACATAAGAAAGAAAGGATATTGCTGGCATATTGCTGGCATATTGCTGGCATATTGCTGGAATATTGCTAAAAGTGGCGTAAAACCTTACTCACTCACTCACTCATGATACATACAGGAACTCAACTGCAATGAATAATGCATGAACAAGCTGCCATGTCTCACTTCTAGTTAATCAGACATGTATAGTGTTGTGAATTTTGGCGCCATGTTGCACTTAGGGCAGGACATGAAGAGACACAAATTAGAAGTCACCTGAAACGGTATTTTATGCAGAATTGTTTAAACGAATATCTAATCAATGGTGTAACAATACCCAATAGACCAAGGGTGTAAAAATATATTGAATATCCCAAGAAAACTATCAATCCCCAATGGGAATGGTTAAAATGATCTGGAGGCCTGGTCAGCTGGAATGGGTGGCTTCTGTGAAGCTTTGATGCTATTCAGCTCAGTTAAGTTTTTTGCTGGGAGGGAATAGTGGGGAACTATCATTGGACCTTTTATAACCTGGCTGCGTGTTATTGTCGTTATTTGTGGGTGTTGCTGCAGGAGTGTTGCAAAATTGTATTGTGATTACTTCCTGGTTGTTGCTGTTTCGAAACAATCCCAATTTCAGTTATGCATATTTTGTATTTCATTCTGATTACTTTATTTTGAATGCTCACAGATGCACACCATACATTTATTCACAAGCGCCCCCCTCCCCCCACCACCGCCACACCTCCCCCCCCCCCCCCCCCCTCCCTTAGATTCATTCTCCCTCAAACCCAACCACCCATCCCCCCCCACAACCGACAACCTCATCAACTGCCAATCCACCCGACACAACTCACTAACTCACCAACCCTCTCACATACTCACTCACTTGCTCGCTCACCAACTCACTCTCACTCAAACTCTAATACTCTTAACATATTTCCTTGTGTCTTGAAAAGAGGTTTGCTTCCCCAGTTAGCACTCTGATAAATAAGAAACACTGTCATTATGTACAGAAATTCCCTCAATCATATGGATTAATATCAAATATGTACATCTTCATAGGCAAAACATTTTCTAGTGTGTCAAGAAGCACCAGCTCTGACATTAGCTCTGACATTAGCTCTGACACTAGCTCTACACTAGCTCTGACACTAGCTCTGACACTAGCTCTGACACTAGCTCTGACACTAGCTCTGACACTAGCTCTACACTAGCTCTGACACTAGATCTACACTAGCTCTGACACTAGCTCTGACACTAGATCTACACTAGCTCTGACACTAGATCTACACTAGCTCTACACTAGATCTGACACTAGATCTACACTAGCTCTGACACTATATCTACACTAGCTCTGACACTAGCTCTGACACTAGATCTACACTAGCTCTGACACTAGATCTACACTAGCTCTGACACTAGCTCTACACTAGATCTACACTAGCTCTGACACTAGCTCTGACACTATGGTTCTCTGTCTCCGCCACACTGGAACATTTATTGTGACCATGATCTGTATGTTCAGGTCCTAGTTTATAGATGGTGACAGTGCCACCAGTCAGTTCCCACTTCACAGTATCTAAGTGTTTGTAGGTGAAGACACAAGCTAACAAAATAATTGCCGAACCACATTCCTCACAAATTGCATCAAGCATTGTGGTATTTTGAGCCCAAAGCACCATCACGATTACTACCCTGTATGAAGGATGTCACTTTCCCTCATTTGTCGTCTAAAATAGATGGCCCTCTATCCAACCAACAGTGCCAATAACTACTCGGAACTGCGTGTAATTGACAGACAAAAGACTTGTATTGATTCGAAGTCCATGACTTTGAGCTCTCGTCAGAACTTTCTAAACTTAATCCTCATGTGTTGACGTCACAAACTTCATCAGACAAAACATACATCAAAACAGGAAAAGAAAGAAAAATCACTATGTCTGGAATAATCACAGCAGCCTACTTAATTAATGAGTCAGACGGGATGGAAATATTTGTCTAGTTGTGACTAAACTGATGAAAGCTATCGGGTGATACGGTGCTGTATACATTAAAGATGTGACAGGAAATTCAACAGACATGTCTGGGGAAGACGTCAGCAGGAAGCGTGAGTCTGTTGGGAAGATGAATCTATGTGTCTAGGTCTCACTTTGGTGTTTAGCTTCTCACAAACGGAACAGACGAACATCGTGGAATTATGCTTTCTATCCAGGTCAATTCAATTCAGAAGCAGTTGCAATTCGGTGTGGATGACAGACTGGATGGCGTTTTGTTGAATGTGTTTGTAGGACCCATGACAGGCAATGAAGTTTGTCATTCCAAGTATGGAGTAGCTTTTCGTATATTTTATGGTTGATTATGAATGTTCTTAAAAACATATTCATAACTGTCCTTGTACCCAATCAGCATGGATCGTTGCTAACACTCTTGACTCTGGTCTTGTCTATACTTGGTTGATTACTGTGTGTCATTAAAGTCCGCCCAGAACAAAATTATCCACACCAATGTGGACTATTATCTCCCCAATCAGGTATCAAATCTTCTCAAATCATAGGTATCAAATAATCACAAATCATGGGTATCAAATATTTCAAAAGCTTTGGTATCGATCTCGGGGTAAAGTCTTTCCAACGCTTTGGTATCAAATCTCAAATTTCAGGTAGCAAATGTGGGTATCAATTTGGGGTATCAAACCTTCCCAGTTCTGAGATCGTTTGCATGCTCTATACATACACATACATATACATGGCAATACAATTGTAATTAGTTGATTATTTCCAATTCACAAGAGACAGTATCCAAATCGACAGCTGGATTGAGTACCAAGTTCCAATCTCCGCATATAACCAGTGATTCGTTTTCAAATTCATCAATATTATTGAATAAAGTATTGTTAAAAACAGGTTCATCTTGATTTGGCCCATAAATATTAGTCAGAGTTAACCTTATGCCCTCTATTGTGATATCTGCTGTTATATAGTTTCCATTAATATCTTGTTTAAGTTTATGGATTTTTATTTCTAAAGTATTACAAAACGAAATGGCAACTCCTCTTGCATTTGACTTGTAAGGCGCTATTATACTTTGAAGTCCCCATTCATTTCTCATTAATGTTTTGTCTTCTTTAGAAACATGAATGTCTTGTAGACATATTATAGGAAATTTCTTCTTTCGCCATAGGTTCATTACTTCGTCATGTTTCCTTTTATCTGCGAGGCCCCTGCAATTTGCTGATATTATTCTGATTTTGATATTCAGTGTTTTCCAAAATAAACAGATTCATATTGTTGTCAAGGTTGTTATTTATATCAATTATTGATTCATCACCTACTGAGTTGAATGCTTTTAATGTTAGTGGGAAAACAGATTGTATGATAACATACAATAATAATTTGTTAAAAAGTAACTGTAGTCTAGTGGATTGAGCAGCTGCCCGGAGAGAGTAAGGTCGGTGATTCAACACCCACAGTGTCATACCAAAACACTTTAAATGATGGTCTTTGTTCCCCAGAGACAGCAATGAGCAGATAAAACAAGGACTAGGTAGTCAGCTCGGAGTCAGTATACTAGACTGAGCAGGGTCTTCATGTTAAACTGTGGCATTGGTATCTCAGTGGGCTGGCTCAATAAGCTGGCATTAGTATGGACAAATATAAGCAGCCACACTCAACATGTGCATGTCCTCCATTACATAAGTGAAATTATTTTGAATGCAACGACCACATGTCACCTCACCTGATTACTCAATGTAGTCTCTTCGGCTTGCGTACCATACTAATTACTGTTAACTCACTGAACATTCATGAATTCTACTGCCGTAAAAAGAGCAAAAAAAAGCACTACCTCTCGGTTCAAATGAGGGTCGGAGCGGTCGGGTAGCCTAGTGGTTAAAGCGTTTGCCCTTTTACGCTGAAGATCCTGGTTTGATTCCCCACATGGGTACAATGTGTGAAGCCTATTTCTGGTGTCCCCCTGCCATGATGTTGCTGCAATTTTGCTAAAAGCGGCATAAATCCATACTTGAGGGTCACATGACTTCCAGAAGGAAGTACATACCAAATGACTACCAAACACTGCAAGAGGCAAACATCCGTGCTCCAAATGGCTCAAAACATCCAATATTTTGTCAAACAGCATTTAAGATGAATTATTACGAATTGTTCGTAAAAGAACTTGTCTACACCCTGATTTAAAAATTCTTTGTTTAGAATGGACCCAAAGTAGTCAAAATATTTTGAAGACCTGAAGAAAAAAAATACAATGCCTAATTTTCCTGAAATAGTCCCAAGTGGACTCTTGTGTTTGTGATGAATTGAGACAGTTCTATACTGTTGGATATCAGGTGCCGACTTCCTTTTCCTGTTTTACATGTTTCCAATGACATCACATAGCATCCTGCCACACAG